AGCAGTGCAACATTTTATGCTGCCCAGGGGTGTTTCTGTCTTAATTACCATCTACATCTGAAGCTGGAGAAAGGAAAGCCCACAAAGGACAGTGGGGAGAGGTGTCTCTGCAGTGAGGCTTCGTAAAGAGCCCGCAGAGACGACCCACTTTGTCCAGAGGCGCAGCACGCCTGCTGTGAGGCCCTCCACCTGCCACAGTTTCAGTCTTCAGATCTTTAGATCTGCACAGGGCCCTACAAACTCATTTCATTTGTAACACTGGTCCCTGGATGTCCTCTGAGTTCCCCATGCTAAGTCCTGAAGATGCAGAAGGGAACGGAGCAAACAGGTCCCAATCTGCATGGAGCTGACACGGAAGAGTCTAAGACGGCACATAGGCGTCACGTGTCACCACCTGAATTCTCCAGCCCCTCAAGGCCAGGGTCATTGGAAGGCTGGGTGGCAGATCACGGGCCTTCTCTCATCCTGATGCTTCAGGTAGGGTGACCAGCCATGGGGCTGGCACACATAAGGTTAATCTAGTCCTCCCCACAGTTTATAGTTGAAGGACCTGAAAACAGAAAAGATAAGGGATTTTCCCATTATGGGAGAAATAGGCCACTCTAAGGAATTTGTTCAGAGGTGTGCTAAATAAAATAAACTCTTCTAGATCATGTTTTCAGATGTTACCTGTGTAACTGTCACTTTCAAGATATCCTCTCACCACTTTGTTTTGGACCCAAGATACAATAATTCTTAAAAGATTCCATAGTAAACTCAAGTTCGTAGCATCTGAAATGGTATTTCTTGAAAGAAACAGGAGACAGAATAGAATAGAGGTAAATGAAACATTTGGAAAAACCCCTCAACACTGTTATGAAAGAGAGCAAAGTGGTTTCACTCCATTGGCTGGCTGTGAGCCTGGGAACTAACCAAAGTACTATATTTTCTTTTTTATGTTAAATCAGGTTTAAAATTTATATGCATAAAGTTCAGTCTTCTTGTGTGTACATTTTATGCATTTTGATACATGAGTATGTTAATGTGGGTGCAGCCAGCATCAAGGTATCAAGTATTTTTTTTCACTGCACCAAAAGTTTACACATGACCCTTTGAAATCCCAGGGTCCATTCTGGAGGTGAACCAGAATATTCTGGCTGGTGTGTCCCCGTTGGGAAGCCAGGTTTTTCATCAGGGAGGATGCTACTTGCAAAAATCAAAAGTGCACAAAGCTTGTACCCTGTTTTGCTGTTTCTCCCCCTAATTCTGCTCTTCTGGCCCAGTGGTCTAATTATTTTAGCAGGGCCATTGTTCTTTTTGCTTTGCAAATGTATTTTGATTTAAATGAGAATTAGATGATGTTACAATGGGAGCAAGGAACAATGAAAAAGAACTATTTCACCAAGAGTCTAATTCTAAAATAACACAACATTATTGAGCAAAGAAGTAAAACGAAAGATTAATTAGTACATAAATTATAGTCAGGGTGCTGCGGCTTGCTTAATTCTTGGTGTGAAGAGGCAGGCAGGGGACTGGGAGCTGGTCTGGGTAGGCAGAGTGGCAGGCAGTCCCAGCCCAGGTTCCCACTGTCCTTGCAAGAATCTGTCACCATCGGCCCTGCAGATACTCTCTGGGAACAACATCAGAATGCACCCAACAGAAGACAGGAGGGTACAGATGTGACTGTCTCCTGGAGTAACGTTTCCAACCATAGTCACATGGGTGAGAGACAAATTCTCCTGGAATTTTCATTTCCTTAAAGCTTGCTCATGCTAGAATACCGTTAACAACCCCCCAGTTGCAGAGTCCCTTCTAACACTAAATATAATTCTCTTTTGCCTTTGTGAAGGCTCATTTGGTCTTTCATTTGGGGATGTGTGAAGGTTCCAGGTGTGTTGAGATAACTAGTCAAAACATTCCCTCAGTTTTCTGGGTTCTGTTGTCTCCAGAGGCTAAAGGCACAGACGCTGAGTGGGGAGGGGCAGGCCGCCTGTCTAGACCACCTGGGTCTTTTATTTAAATAGCAGGATGCCTCGAAATGGTTCATCCTGAGCAATCAGTGACAATCAAGATGAGGAAAGATAGTTCATATTACCAAGTTCTTATAGGGACTTCTGCAAAATGCTTTTGTATCAGAGTGATGTGATAGCAAGCATTAGAACTCCCAGCTGAAAACGGTTGAGCACCAGGGGTTTATTATCTCAAATGATAAGAACCCCGTGGCTAGTGGAGTCCAGGACCGGCTAATGGCAGCTCTGTGATATCTTCCAGAACACGCCTCTTTCATCTTCCCCTCTGCCTCTGTCAGCATAAGGGGAGCCCCCAGGATCTCAAGGGGCACCTCAGTTCCAAACATGCAAAGAGCCAGGGACATAAAGAGGAGGATTCCCACCTGCATCTCCAGTTTCACCTTGCTGTGATTGGAAAGAACCTTCCAGCTGCAGCCTCTGGGAGGGAAGTGGGCTCTGTTGTAAGAAGGAAGTGAAGGGGAGGCACTGTTGGGCAGATACACAATGTCTGCCTCACCTTTTCTGTCCGTGACAGAAGATGCCAGGTTGCCCTCTTGCAGATTTAGAAACTGATGGCTTGGGAGCTGCACTTCATGCTCCAGACAAGGCTGAGGTCAAAACTTGAACTCAGGTCTGTTGGGTGCTACGTTCCAGGCTTGTATCCACTAGACTCTAATTGAAGTTGAGGCTTCCAGACCAAAGCAGAAGACAATGTAAATTAGACTTGTAATAGGCTTATGCCCAGGGTGAGAACGAACAGGTAGTTTTCCAGCCTGAAATGCTTGAAATGCCCCTGCCAGGAATCAGCCTTAGAGGTAAAGGGTTGTCTCTGGGACACAGCTGTAAAAAATGCAAATGAATGTTTGCACACATTAACATTTTAGCTTTGAATCAAATAGGTATCTGATATTCTGGTAAAGAACATAGGTTTAAGTTACTTCTGACAAGTGAAGGGAGAGAAAAGCTGAGGTGAACTTGGTATGTGGGGCAGTGGCTGGGATAGAACAGGGAGAGAGCAGGGTCACAGGGGTGGCGCCCTGGAGGCAGAGCCCTGCAACTGGAGGGGTGGGAAGCCACGCCCTTCTCCACCTCACCTTCTGACTCCCTGCCTTCCCAGGCCAGCTGCGCCTTAAACTCTACCCATAGGAGTCAGGGCTCCCTACAAGTCACACTGCTGAAATGATCCCACTGACAGCCCCTCTTCTCCACAGGAGAGTGAAATCACACTCTAACATTTGCACAAGTAATGCAAAGTTACCTCTAGAAGTTTTTGAGACATTATATTTCATTTCAAAAATGAATGTGATGTTGCATTGTTATGGTAAAATACGTCTCAATCACATATTGTTGGACATTAAGTGATCATTTGGCACTGGGTGTCACCAGACACTGAAAGTTGAGGTCATCTTTGCAGAAATGATCAGATTTCAGAAGCCAAGCCCACCCCTGTCCCTTTCGTTGTCCTCTCTTGCCCAGGTTTTCTTGCCCTACGTTCTTCTGGAAACCCTGGGGATTTTACATGTGTACCTAACACTTCATTCCCACCAGCTCACGTGTGCTCTCAATGTGCCGCCAAGTTCACTGAATCAGCAGGCCTGCACCGTGGGGTTGCAGAAAGCAGACGACATCCTTTCACCTCTGTTTCTTCAGGACCCAGAAAGGTACAAGGCTGCCTCCCCTAAAATATATCAACGTCTGGCAGCTCTGGAAGCCCTGTGTCTGCCGTCTTGGGTGGCTCTGCTGGCCTTGGCCCCTTCCTGCTCTGCTGACCGCTCTTTCCAGACCTGGGGGTGTTCTGACCACTCAGCCCTTTCCTAGAGAGGCACCTAGTAGGGCACCCCTTTCCTTGCATCTCACCTTACAGCTGCTGGTTCTCCTGCGCTGAAGTGGGGTGTAGCAGGGAGAGGTGGTGGGTGAGGGACATGCTGGCTCCACACTATCGGCAATGCTGCTCCTCCCAGACTTAGCCTCCCTCTTGCCGAGTTTGACCTGCCCCCCCAGATCTGCTCTCGCAGCGCTCTTTTTTTTCTGCTCATGTCAGGGGCTGCATTGTCATTCTCCACAGGCTGGCTGCCGTCAGGGTCTCGGTCCTTCAGATACATTCCCAATCATATCAGTAAGAGAGGGATCACTTCATACAAATGAGAGCCAACAATTTAAACACCAGGGTGAGAAAACATTAAATTGGCTACCAAGACCAGGAACAGAATTTCTGATTTTTGGAGAATAGTACTAATAGCTTCAACATCATTGAATGCTCACTTCCTACATGCCAGGGACTATTCTAGGCATTTTACCCATGTTATTTAGTCTTCCAACGACAGTCTGAGGTGTTAACTTGTTATCATCCCCATGATACAGAGAAGGGAAGGAGACAGAGAACATAAGGAACCTGGTCAAGGTCACAGAGGGTCTGCTTCCGGGTCTGTGCAGTTAACAAGAATGCTTTAAGGCCATGGAATGAGAGATGGGCACATCGGTGTGGCCAAGGACCCCCTTCTCCAAAGCAAGGTTATTTATACTGAAGAAAGAACACTTCAGAAGAAAAAGACAACTATATTCCTAGCTGGTTCACACTTACCATATCCGGTTCATTCTCAATCCCTTTCTGATTCTAAAAGTGAGTGACTTTGTGTGTGTGAGCAGTTGATTGGGGAGGGTCCCCTGCTTTTTAACAGAAGAATCATGCTCATTTATCCATCCATAAACATATATTGTTGACTTGGGAAAATAGAGTATTAGACCCCAAAAGACTCAAACTAATCATTATTTTACTGTTTATGAAGTGAAGTTGTTCCTTTATGGCCTGGCTGCCCTAGAATTTATTGCTGTTTTTTCTGCAGAGCAATCTTTATCCTACTCTTATAGTCAACAAAAATATGCTTATAAAAATAGGAATTGCTTTTAGGGGGTAACATTACCCATTTTCTTTTTTGTTTCCCTGATGCTCCCACTCTGTCTGTTTCATTGGTCTTTGAAAAGTGTCAGAACAAATATCTTCAACAAAATTTGTTTTAAATTTGCAATTTTTATTTGACTTATTGTTATTTGTAGCTCACCAAGGAATGGCCAGAAAGGGCCTCAAAGTTAACTGTGGGTGCAGGGACTACAATGACCACTCCATTTTCTGGGGTGGGTGGAAAGCAAGCCATTAAAAGCCATTAACTGAAGGAAGGCAGATTTGAGTGGTATAAGGTTGAAGAGCCCTAACCTCGCAGCCTGTGGAAGTTCCCACTGGCGTCAAGTTCCAACAATCAACCTCAAATGAGGAGGACTGCTTAATTAAAGATTTGCTTTCAGGATATTGTTTACAATATTGTGGTGACAGCTCGGATGGACAGGACATTCCACTGCGCTGTGGAATTGCTTCATACTTCTGGAGTCAAGAGCACTGTTAGCTGGAGACCAAAAGATGGCGCTGTGGCAATAGACAGAGCCCCCTCCCTGCTGAGTAAGAGCCATCAAAATAACACTGCCTGGATTTTCAAATTTGCCTTCTCGGGGCTTTGGTGGCCTCCTCAAACCCCAAATAAATGTCCGTGCCAGAGTGTATGAGACTCTCCTGCTCCTCGTCCTCAGAAGGGCTCAGCCCCCAGGTATACATAATGTAATTCTGCACAGGAAGACTTGAGGCAGCCCTGTGAGTTCCCGGTTTTGAAGAAAAGGGAATCTTGCTGGGGTTGGGAGGACAGGGGAGGGAACACAGGAACGCTCTCCGGACAGCTGTGACAGTCAGTGAGACAGTCTGGCATCAACGACAAAGTCGGGTGCGGGTGAACGAGAGAAAAACAGATGAACCAAAGCAAAAAGCAAACACAGGGAACTGGCATCATAAATCATTGCTGGACTCGCGGGATAATGTAAATCTGCTTTCATGCGAGGAACACATTTTTGTCTCGCTTTGTCCAACCGGCCACAGAAAGTCCAAGCGTTGCGCGATCACTCCATTTAGAACTCTACTGACAGAAGGAGCCTCCGTCTTTCTGTCCGTTTCTCTTAATCACGATTTCCTTCTCACACGTAACCTGCCAAGTTAGGACCAGCTATGCTCCCTTATGAGAGGACACTTTTGTGAGATGGGTTGCAGAGAGCACAATAATTAAGAAGGAATGGAGTTAACTTCAAATCTGAGGTGGTGCCAACTCTTGATTAGCTACATATGCACCTCATACTTGGTGAATCATGTGTGGAAGACGTTTGCTGGGAAGCACATTTTAACTACCATCCCCAGTTCCACCTTCGTCCTCATACCCAGACCGATAGTGTGCTTATCAAAATAAACATCATTAGAAAGATAAAGCCAAAGGGAAAGATGAACTCGGTAATGTATTTATACAATTTAGAGCTTGAAGGGCCCTCAGCGTGCCTTTGCCTGAAGGTGACAGTGTTGGTAAAAAAAAATAATAAAGCAGGCTGGACTCAAGTACCACATCCATGAGCCGGAACTTCCAGGGCCAGAGCCTGGTCATCTGCATTTTAACAAGTCCTCCAGGGGATTCTTACCTTAAAGAAGTTTAGGAAACAGTACCTAAAAAATTATCTAATCCAAGAGCTAGTGAACAGCCTGTGAAGGGCCAGATGGCAAATAATTGAGACTTGGAGGGCCATACAATCTCTGTCACAGCTACTCTGTCAGAGAGAATTTTCAGTTCAACTTGCTTTAAAAATGTTTTTTTAAACTTATTTGTGACCAAAAATTATGTGAATAGATCTTTCTCTAAAAAATAGAGATTTTAAATAATTGGCATCTCTGTATGTGAGTTTTTTCATTTAAGAGTTTGGGATGGAGATCTAATCTAAAATTTGGGGATGCTAATATTTAAAACGTAACTGGCTTTCCCACTTTATTTCCTATCCAACAGTGCCTTCTGATGGTGTACTAATTATTAAAATGTATGTATTTCATAATCCCAGAGGCAACTGCTCTGCAATTTGAGAATTTAAACTACGGCCAGGCAATTCAGTGGTTCAAAGCTTCCTAAAGCCACTGGAAAGAATTGCTCGTGTGGTATTTTCACAGTTATTTAGCAAACAGATGATGCCAGAATCTTCATCTGCTGTAACAACCGTTGTTGGGCAAAACATGTCCTTTCTTTAATTGAAGGGCAGTTGACATAATATTCTATTAGTTTCAGGTATGCGACATAGTGATTCAACAGTTTGCGACCAAGTCTTGAATCACCTTGAGAGGATATCTAGTTGTCTGGACTTAGCTTTCCGGTAATGCCCAACCTGTTTCCAACAGCCTTTCCAGAAACAAATTCCTTCTTTGTAGCAAACCGACTTTCTCTTTCCCTGTTCTCATGGTAGTGGGGAGCATCTGGCTGCCATTTTCTTTGTACCTCTGAAGAAGCATTAGTAAATTACCAGAGTTGCTCTTCCCCTGGCTGAGCAGCCCATTCCCTTAGAACTTCCTCAGAGAACTTGTCCTCTGGGCCTCTAATCCTGAAGTCACTTTTATGGGTTTGGAGCTTTCTCCAAGTTGTCCACACCCTCTTCAACTGCATGGTTTTAAATCCAGCTCAGGCTGCTGGGGAGTTTTGAGTTCTAAAGGAATAACTTGTAGAAGCGTTAAGCTGCGTCTTGCTCTGTTTGGCTGCCAGGGCCTCCAGTTAATTCACGGGTGAGCCTTCCTGGTGGGCGCCACGTCTTTAGATTATCCTGGGGGAAACCAGAGCTGGGATTCTGTTTACTTCCCGGAGGAGGGTCGCCACTCCCTCCACCAACAGAAGCTCTTGTTCTCCCTTCTGTCAGTGGGTTAGGAGATACCTGGTTTGGGTCGGGGGGTAGAGGGAGCTTGGTACCCAGAAAAAATTTTCCCAGAATGGAAACAATCAGGCATTTCTGGAACTCCTGTAGAATTTTTTGTTGTGCTGGAATTTAGGACATTTTTAGAAATGGAAAACCATGTAGCAATCACTGCTTTCAAAAAAACGAAGAGCATTTGGCATTCAAATAGTCTGTCCCTTTTGCTTTGTTCTTTCAGGGTACTTTCAGCAGCTTGTCACAGTTAGGCCTCTTGTTTTCGCCCATCTTTCATCTGGAAAAATTTCAAATCAACAGTCAAGTGAACACACAGACACTCTCCATCTAGATCTGCTGGTTGTTTATATTTTGCCACATTTGCCTTATTGCTCTTTCTCTTCATACACACCTACGCCAACACACACACACCACTTCCCTTTTTTGGCTAAAACATTTGGAAATAAGTTGCCGACATCATAGCACTTCACCTCCAAGTACTTCAGATTACAACTCTGAGAATCAGGTCATCTCCCACATAAACATTATATGAGTATCACTCCTCAGAAAATTGATATTAATTCCATAGCATCATAGAATATACAATCCATATTCTGATTTCCCCGTCTATCCCAAAGCTGTCCTTTCACAGCTATTCTACTTTCTGATTCAGGATGTAATCTCAGTTCTAATTGCCTTGGTGTCTTTAGTCTCTAGAGTCTCTTTCTAATCAAGAACAGTCTTCTCATTTTCTATTTTCTTTCATGACATTGACT